CCCGTTAGCGATAATAGGGTCCATGATATGTTCACGGTATTCCGGGAAGTTTTTAAAGCCCAGAGCGTGGCTAACGTTACTAAGTATAACGGCAAAAACTCCCTGATGGAATTCTTGCGCGCATTAGAAATAAAGTTCCCTCCAGCGGTGTGGACTAATGCGGACAGGCGAGATATACTTGTGAACCATTTGGAAGGTACAGCCCTATCAATCTTCAAAGGATTGCCGCCTGGGGTCAGGGAAGGGACCTACGAAGGGGTAGTAAGTGCCTTGAAGGCAGCCCGTAGGAATCCTTGTGAACAACTGAGGAAGAGTGGGAACACCTCTCGAAAAAGTCCAATGAATCAGTTGTCGACTTCTGCTGTCGAATGGAGGACCTGTCTAGGAGGATCCACCGACTTCATAAGGGGATCAAAGCTGTACTCTTGCCTAGCATTGGCAGAACTCCTATTACATGCTGGAGGCATTGGATGCGCCAGAGGGACAAGTTTATGAGGAAGTTAAGGAAAGTAGCCACGCGTTTGGAAAAGCTGCAGTTTGATTCAGCAAGCCATCCTTCAAGTAGCTACCGCGGTCGTTTCCAGAAAGCCAGACCCGTCCCATACGGTATACGTGGTAAAGTGCATGAGATGCTCCAAGACCTTAAGGAAAGAAATGTGATTGAGGACAGTCAGTCACCGTGGGCATCACCAATAGTCCTGGTCGCCAAGAAAGATGGGTCCACAAGGCTATGTGTAGACTACAGGGAAGTTAATAAGGTTACCAAAAAGGACAGTTATCCCTTGCCCCCCATAGACATCACCTTACAGAATCTCCAAGGTAAGCAGTGGTTCACATCGCTGGATTTAGCTAGTGGATACTGGCAGGTACCATTAACTGAAAGAGCTAAGGAAATTAGCGCTTTTACGACTACGTCCGGACAGTTTCAGTTCCGGGTGCTGCCTTTTGGTCTAACCACTGCGCCCGCGAATTTCCAGCGTTTAATGGATAAGGTGAGGCGATTTAAGAGCAGGTACCATTAACTGAAAGAGCTAAGGAAAGAGGGCCGGAAGTATCAGTCTACATAGACGACATACTTATTGCGACGGATTCGGTGCAAAGACATACAGAAGTCCTCCACAAGGTTCTGTTAGCATTCCGCAAAGCGCAGCTGAAGGTTAAGCCCCAGAAGTGTCGGTTAATGGAGCCCAGCTTGGAGTTTCTCGGGCATGTGGTGGATGCTAGTGGAGTGAGGGCTGACCCGGAAAAAGTTGCTCGCATAAGAGATTATGCCCGTCCACAGAATGTAGCTCAGTTAAGGACATTCCTTGGTATGGCGGGTTACTATCGAAAGTTTGTTTTGAAATTTTCCCAGATTTCAAAACCTCTTTTTGAGCTTACCAGTCCAAAAAGGAAATTCTTATGGTCCGATGAGCACGATACAGCTTTTGAAGCACTAAAAATGACCCTGGTCAAAGCGCCAGTGTTGGCTCAACCCAATATCGAGAAGGCTAGGGACGGATCTCGACCTTTCGTTATTTACACCGACGCTAGCAGAGTAGGAATTGGTGCAGTTTTAGCCCAGGAAGGAGATGACTCGTTGCTGCATCCCGTATTCTTTGCTTCTAAACATCTAACTAGCGCGGAAAGAAACTATCATGTTACGGATCAAGAAGCGCTAGCACTTATTTTCAGTTTGAAAAAGTTCCACTATTATCATATACGGCGTCCCAGTCATTGTGAGAACTGATCATTTAGCTCTCACGTCACTTGCACTAATGTATCACCACGTGTTCGACGTTGGGCATTAGAAGTACAGCGTTACGATCTAACTATAGAATATGTGAAAGGAACAGCCAATGCGGTAGCGGACGCGCTATCTCGTGGTTTGCCTCCTTGCCAGAACACGGCTCCGGGGTATGCAGAAGATGAAAAAGTCGTTTGCGTAGTACAAGAAGACGAATGGTTAGCGGAACTGCGCCAAGATTCTGATTTTTCTGAGGTGATATCGGCGGTTGAGAATGACCGAGTAGGAGAGGTTAGACTTCCCCGGCACAGTAAATTGCTCAGTAGTGCAGATTTTGCAATTCAAAATGGAAAATTGCATTTGATTACTGAAGATGGGACGATGGTGATGATAGTTCCCCGATCACACAGGAAAACGTGTTCAATGAAGCACACTCGGGTGTATTGGGCGGCCACTTTAACGCCTACAAATGTACGCACAGATGAAGAAAATCTGGGCTGGGATGTATCAAGACCTGGTTAACTGGTGCCGCAGCTGTCAGCAGTGTTTTGTTGCAAATCATAAATCGAAAAATGTCCCACCATTACGTCCGATTCAGGTGAACAGACCACTTCAAATAGTGGGAGTAGATCTTTAGAAATGGGTCTGACTACACGCGGGAACCGCTATATAGTCACCATTATAGACCACTTTACAAAGTACCTAGGTGCATACCCTATAGCAGACAAAAGAGCGGAAACAGTTGCAGAAGTGGTGTTCAGTAACTGGATATGTGGTAGCGGCCGCTGGCCGGAAATCCTCCTCTCAGACAGAGGGAGTGAATTCGAGAATGAAATAATTATGGCTCTTTGCAATACAATGGAGAATGGACTCACTGAGAGGGTAAATGGCACCATCGTTCAAATGTTAAAAAAGAAAACAGTTAATCCCACCGAATGTGAGGGTAAATGGCACCATCGTTCAAATGTTAAAAAAGAAAACAGTTATTCCCACCGAATATGATCGGGTGTTGCCGACGGTGGTTTATGCGTACAACGCCTCGGTGCATGCAGCAACAGGCGAAAGCCCCCACTTTTTGCTGTATGGAACGGACCCCAAATACCCATCAGCAGTGATCCCCTCCGACCAGTTATCACCCTATATGGTAGACTACGATGACTACAAGACAGAGTTGCTGTCGGGGTTGAAGCTTGCGCGACAACTTATCTGTGAAAACGCGGAAAAATATCGTGAGCGTATGAAAGTCCAGTATGACAGGCACTGCAAAGCTGCTAAAAATACGATTTTCGGCACTATTTACCCTTTACTGCCCCAACGATCCCGAATTGAGCTTTACTGCCCCAACATCCCGAATTGAGCCAGTTTCTGACCGACTTTTTTCTCCGTGGACAGATTTGGCTCAAATGTTGTCTCCTGGGGTATTTTGACCTCCTGAATAATTCACATAGCCCGAAACCTCCTGGCGCCTGCGCCACAGGCGCCGGTGATCTGAGGTATTTTGGCGCCAGCACCTGTAGCGCGGGCGGCAGGAGGTTTTGCGCCGAGCGGATGTGATATTCGTGATCAGGGGGTCAAACCACCCCTGGGAGCAAGTTTTCAGCGAATTTGGTGATTTCGACTATTTTGGCGCCGGCGCCCGTGGCGCGGGCGCCAGGAGGTTTCGGGTTAAGCGGATGCGATATTCGTGTTCAGCGGGTCGAACTACCCCTGGAGCCAAGTTTTCAGCAAATTCTGCCCACGGAGAAAAAAGTCGGTCAGGAACTGGCCTGATTTCGGATGACTGGGGCAGTAAAGGGTAAATAGTGCCCGATTTTCAAGCCAGGGGATCGCGTGTACATGAAACTTCCGACGGAAAAAGGCAAGTCGCGACACCCTAAGCTTACCAACGACTGGTCGGGACCCTTCCGTGTCATTGAGGCAAGCGCGAATTCAGCGTTAGTCACACTCATTGGGGCAATAAAGAACCTTGTAGAGTGCAGTTCGACCATCTGCTAAAGGTTTCTAGAGAAATTGATGATACTCGATTAACTGGCCTAACGCAGCGCGGTAGACGCGGAAAGAGAAGGACAGTAGCTGCAATATATGCTATTTCAGATACCACCAATGGAGAGTTATTTGATAATTTTACTTTCAGCACCGTGACATCATCATCAACGAATGTCCGTCACATCGACTGGAACTGCCCGGGAGAGATGTCCGTCAATGGTCAGCGAGTTGCGTGCTCAGTCAATGTTCCGATCAGCAATCTACTGCCAGCGGCTCCACTATCATCATTTGCATTTCGATCACCTTATGAGTTAGCCAGAGTGCTTGCGGTTATTAGCCAAACACATGTTCCTGAGCATTTCCGTCTAGCACGAATGCTTGATTTTTCATATGATATTGTCACCCCGACCTCACTTGGAATTGCTATTTCATTTTACCGATCGCACTGTATTCATATGACTCTTGCCACCGTGGAGGACGCAGGCAAAACCACACCAGGATATCCCCCGAGGTCGAACGTCGACCCATACAATCTACCCAGTGGTCCCGTGATGCCGTGAAATTTGCGGATATGCATCCTTGGACTCCCTAAGAGCTGGAAATTGGTTCAGCCACGGCGTACGCTCGTTGTACTACCGGAAGGATTTCAAGATGTGCTGGACAGTTTCGAGTCGGCGTTGATGTCAGCAAAGTTCGCCAGAGCCCGAAGACGTGAGACCAGATTGGTTCACAGAGGAATGGTCCGCGGTCATCTTGATTTCGCCGTCACGCTTCTTCGACGTGACGCGCTGGAGAAGTGCTTGGGCCTGATGGTACAGGCAGTCGCTAAAGGGGCGGAGCTCGTGGCCGTCCTTGGGCCCAAGGACGACCAGAACGGGGGAAAAACAGTGGACATCCTCAGGGACTTGATGGAGGAAACTGTGGCGCAAAGGCCGTCGCTGAGGCAACGGATTCGTTGTCTACTACCGCTAAAATCCGAAGAATTTGTGCAGGACGCACCCTACAGGATTTTATCGGACAAGATGAATCCTCGCCAGAGGACCTTACTTTACGCAGAGCGCGGCCAAGAGGTTTTGGAATGCCACGCAGAAGCAGTATAGCTCCTCTGTCAAGCTACAGGACTTCAAACGGTTGCCGGAGCCACGACGGAAGTCATTCTCCCGACCCCCTGTCTTCCGAGAAAGACAGTCATTTGATAGGCGGTCCCTACGTGTAAAGCAATCGGCGCGAGCAAGGCCTTATTAGCGCAGTGGAGGCGCTTCATTTTCTGCGGGGACCCCCATGTGAGATATGTGATTATTTGATTAATTGTATATATGACTTTTATTGTTTTGAATGTGACCCCATCATGATCATCGTTATGCTAGGTCATTAGCCATCGGATAGGCATGTGCCCGGGGACATTTACCTCATTATGGCGTCGCCGCGGGTTACAGATAATGGTCCCCCCATTGTGGGGGCCACCTATATATAGCGGGGTCAACTCGCTTATAGTAGTTCTAGCTCTATTGGATTCGTCTCATTGTTCCTGTATAGCCACGCCAGTTACTGCTGGCACATTCGCTGTTCTGTATTTGAAATAAATCTGATCATAATCGTCTCGTTTGACTCGAACGGTGTTCAGCCGAGTTCTACTTCGATCGAAGGGTCGCCGGTGAAGATTGTGGGGCACAAACATTGTGGGCGGGGCCTGCTCCGAGGTGGGCGGAGTCAGACGAAGAATCTGTAAAATAGCTCAAGAGTACTTCAGACACCGGAAAAAAGTGGAGTACAGAACAAAAGGCGGATATCAGTTGAGTCTAGAAATATGTGAAAGAAAATACGCGCGGCGGCCGTATCAGAAGGAGGCGCGCCGGCGTTAGCCGGCGAGCCGATGATATAAAGAGAAAGGATAATGTCATCGTAGTTGACTGATCCCTTCTCTTTAATGGCAGCACGCAATCAACTTTCATCTAGAATCGTAGTGGCTTATTGAGTGCAAGGTAAACTGTTCTTATCCTCCTAAGGAATCTGGTGAATATCCCGACCCCAGAGGATGAAAGGCTTGATTGGCTAGGGCGGGAGCCATCCGAAATTTGACTCAGGGGCTGCGCACGTGGTGAGAGCGCTCCTTGCCACTACACTACCTCAGCCTAACAGGACACTACGTGTATCACCTGTGCTCCCGTTGATCATCGAGTTCCTCGGGGCGCCAGTAACGTCTCCATTCGTCCCTGCAACGTGCAAGAGTTGCCCAATGAACTCTCTCTGCTCGAGGGACACGATGAACTTATACAAAAATGTTCAGTAAAACAGACAATTTCAACTTCAATATAAGAAGGTTCCCACATGCGAAAACAAACATTTCGAATCACATCAAATGCAACACAATATATTCAGAAATACTAAGAATAGCTCGGACACAGAGCGCAACGCACAAAGAGAAAAGGCTTTGAAGATAGACTTGATTTTACAGTGAGACAACTGAAAGAGTCTGAATACAATATAGAAGTTTTCATTATATGTCTTACAAAATGCGTTATCCATAATGACTTTATTAAACATTAGGGTGATGCATACGTTTTTAACCCCGACTTTTTTTGTAAATTTGATCCTTCCGTATTTGCATGGATGTTGGTATTTCGTCATCACGTGTGCGTGACGTGTACATGATACTCTTTCATCACACTAGCTATCACTCACCCACCCTGCATTTGCAGGCCACAATGCCGCACAATTACCACTGTGAAATCATGTCACAGTGGTGATTGTGCGGCATTGTGGCCTTCTTCGGGTCCCAGCCCCCGTCCTTCTGGGAGGATGGAATCGACAAGCTGCCTGAGCGTTGGCGTCGAGTAGTGGATGGTGATGGTGCATACCACTAATCTTCAGGCTGGTTCGCTATTGAGATATTTACAAAACGGGTTT